GCAAGCACAAGCAGTACTGCCAACAACTCTGCTTACTCGCCAAGTTCTTCCTCGACCACAAGACGCTGTACTACGACGTGGAGCCCTTCCTCTTCTACGTTATGACCTGCGCAGATCACGAGGGTTGCCATATTGTGGGATACTTCAGCAAGGTGAGTACTCCAAGGGTAGACATATATAACACTTTAAAGTTTCTTTCGAAAGGATTGTGTCGTACGAAGTATAGTCGCGGAAATCCGCAGTGTTTGAGTTTTATAAATGTTGCTATGTTGCAACGTGACAAACTATAAAAATAACTAATTAAGTTGCAGTTGCACAAAGGACAAGATTATTATATTATTAGATATGAAATTAGATAAGTACCGTTGACCAAATATTTTTGTGTAAGGTCATAAATCTGCGTTATTATTGTTACTCGTCGTTTATTGCGTATAAAGAACACCGCCAGATTCCCCGATTGTACTTTGTTAGTAATCTTCAGGTTGAAAATAACGCCATCTAGTTGAAAGTTAAACCATTTTTTGCTTCTCTGCGACATTGTGAAGTTCATGTTTTGCTAATTCCTGTAGAATACCAACCGGACAGTTATAAATAAACATTTTTTTTTTAATACGACAAATGGGACCATTATGAAGATTGCTGGTTGTTTTAAAATTATACCCCTTAGCATATGGATATTATTTCGTAATTTCTTTTAATTCTGCCAACGAATTTAAATTTTACTTGTTTTTAATTTTTCAATTTTTATTTTAAACTGTTCCCGGGCGTCTTCATCCGCATGTCATTATGAAAATTTTATTTTATTGTTTACATTTGTCAAATAATCAATTGCAAATGTCAAAATACGAATTACCTTAAGTACTATGGCAAATCTTAATATGGCAATGGTGATGTTGGCAGCAACTTATGGTCTCTTTCCCACATTAGGGTTTTTATAAAAATATTTACCCCCTAAGTTTAATGGCGTGAAAATATATAGCCTAAAGCATGACGGAATGATGATGATGACAATGAATAATACTTTTTTTAATAAAGCTTTTTATTAAAAACAGTATTATTCAAAAAAATGCTGTAATTGCTGACATCTTAGGCAACAAAGAAGTGTGTGTTTTCGCTTTATTATAATAGTATAGATGTGTTCTATTTATCGCAATAATAAAAGATAGTTATTACATTTTTTTATTTTAACGCTTTAAAGAACACCTCACTTTTCTATATATATAAACTTGCAAATATAAAAATGTATATACAATAGCATCTAGCAATACAAAGAAAAGTAACAGTAATAAAGTAAGGCCCCAATTAAATACAAAAACGCCGACAAATTCCAATTTTTCGTTTCTTTTCCTGCAGTTAAAAAACGTAACTGACATTTAAGACCTACGCAAAGCCTTGACTATACGTAGGTCGCGTACTATACTCATTGAGTCGCGTCAGCTGTGGGGTCGTTGACCGGGGGGTGGAGGCGGGACACACCCCCAAGCACCCCCACAAACCCCCCCAGACCCCCAACCGGCTGCGTAAGTACTCGCGTCGAGATTCCCAAAGTACTTAGTACGTTAGGGTTCCCTCGTACGTTTATTAACACGTATGTTTTGATTGGAGTGTTAACACTTTTGATTACATTAATCGTAGTTTAATTGTTATATTATTATTATATTATATTATATTATATTATATTATATTATATTATATTATATTATATTATATTATATTATATTATATTATATTATATTACTAGCTGTTCCTGTGCGGCTTCTTCCGCATGAAATTATGAAAATTTTTGCCAAATGATCAATAGCAAATGTCAAAATGACATGACATGACAAACCTTGGCAATCTTGCTTCCTAGATGTTGGCAGCAACTTATGGTCTCTTTCCCACATTAGGGTTTTTATCCAAAATATATTTACTCCCTAAGTTTAATGGCGTAAAATATATAGCCTAAAGCGTGACGTAAGTAGGGCTTTTTAGTAAAAAAAAATATTCAAAAATATGCTGTAATTGCTGACATCTTAGGCAACTAAGAAGTGTGTGTTTACGCTTTATTATAATAGTATAGATAGTATAGATTATTATATTACAAAGTTTTCAACTTTTTTGTTTGTATTTTGTTTAGAGAATACAATAACAGGAAATTGACTCACAAAAATATTTACTCCTAGCTGTTACTCGCAATTTCGTTCGCGTGAAATTAAAAAAAGATTAAAAAGGTGACCTATGCCTATGTTACACAGTGATATCGTAGCATTTTATTTATTAATTTTATTTATTCAATTCTTTTCGCACATTAATTAGTCCAAAATTTTAATTTTAACAGTGAAAAAATTTTTGTAATGTGCCCAGTAGTTCTTGAGATATTTCCAATACATACAAAAATAGAAACAAATGTAAATCTTCCCTCTTTAATATATTCGTGTAGATGAATCCGTAGCTTTCGGCTGAAATAAATATTGATTAAAGTCTTTAAAACTTAATTAAAATCAACTTTGTTATAAATGTATTGATAAATACGCAATAAACATAAGCAAAATTAAAGGTTATGTTATAAATCCCATAGAGTTTAATACAAATAGAGGACGCAATCTCAATTATTTGTTGCAACCATTTCAATTATACAGTCGTCGGTTGGGTGATTTTAATCGGGTCCAACGTCGGGCTTTTTCAATCCGAAAATTGGATTATTCGAGAGCACACGTTAGACCTGCTATTGAAAGGCAACAGAACCTCAATACGGGAACTTTCCAGACTTATTGAAAACACTTTGACTACCCTAATTTAATTTCCGATTATAAGCTTCCTAAGACCAGTCGATATTAATTTATATAAGTTGGTTTCCTATATTTGAAGTACTACATTAGGGTTGTCAGCAAGAAATTATGTAATTGTAGACTACTACATAGACTATAAGGTCCCTATGTAAACTTAAGTAACTGCGAAATGCAAATTTTACAGGAGAGTATTAAAACAAACAAAATTCAGTAATGAAATTTGATAGTATGGATTTACTTGTATTGTTGCATTGCAAAGTCCATAGCAAATAAGCATCTTTTTTGAGTAGAAAAAAAAATCCTCGTGAAAACTACTAAATATGCGCTTTCGGATTTTTTACTATATGTTGAGTTTCATGTTTTATTAAAATCATCCAGATCTCTCAAAGGAAATTAACTGGTAGTTCATTTTGCTTTCAAATCTCATAGGAATAAAGTTAAAAATCGCGTACCGTTAAATTACTCTTTCATTTACTACGTTCACTACAGCCTACGACGTAGCGTAGCGCTACGCTCTTGACGTAAACCGTGGTTGCTCGTAGACCGTCTACGCCGTAGTAAGGCGTGGCTTGTAAATGAAACCCGTGACGCCATTACCATGAAATTATATTTTATTATCCTATTAAATTCTGGTTTTAAATTTAATTGATTTGTTATAGAAGTTATACAAATTAAAATTAAAATTTCCTTAAAAATAAAAATCATCTCATTAATATTAACCTCTTTATAATGTATTAACATTCGCCCGCTACTCCGTTCGCGTGGAATTAAAAAAAAAACAAAAGTGAGTAGCCTATGTGTTCTTCCAAATTATCCTCAACATATAGATGTAGGATTTAGTCTATACTAAATTTAACATCTCTCCATCCATCTAATATTTAAATTCTCATAATATCAATTTAAAAACCAACTAAATATAAAATAGTTAAAATAAATGATTAGACGAAAAAGCCGGATATCCGTCTGCCCGCCGCGGCCGTCGACCCCAGACGTCTCGACGGAATATCTCTAAATTTATGTATACTTACAATTCTTACCCACCGTTCAAGTTGAGAATACTGAGAGCACAATACGTCTAAGAAGTTTTTTTCACACAGACTGTTTGCTTTGAATCACTACCTCTTCAATTTATTATAATACCTTTGATATTTATTAAAATATTATTTACTTGCATTATTTACTAGTAGCTACTTATTTAAAAGAGCTTTAAAACTCTACTATTTTCACTACCAGAAAATAACTTAATTTTTTATAAATATGTATCTTACTTTCTATATTATTAATGGGATAGTTTAGGACGTATCTCAATGAAAAAAAAAACATGACAACACTTTAAATCGCGAAGGAAAGCTAAGTTATGTATAAGTTTCATAACTTGACCAAATATTTATTTTTCAATAAAAACTTGACTATGTGCGTGGCTTTTTCGTTTTCGTAATTTATGGTTGAACAAGCTACTGTCCGCGACTCCCTAAATTAAAAATAAAATGTAGCCTATGTGTTCATCCAGATTATGTTCTTCATATATGCCAAATTTCATCCAGATCCGTTCATCTGTTAAAGCTACAAACTCTAACAAACATCCATCCATCTAAACTTTTGCATTTATAATATTAGTATGATAAAACATTTGTTGCAATACTTAAAAACGATCAAAAACTCAAACATCCAATATTGGGGTAAATTTTTTTCCGAACTTAAATGTGATTTATAAACCTTTGGTAGTAAAAGGATATTATCAGATGTTGTCAACAAAGCGGATAGACGTCTGCACATGAGGTACCCCGATGCCCTCGGCCAGCCCCCGCTGTCTGACTGAGGGTCGACGAACCACCCCCCTAACCTCCCCGTTATAAATATACCTCTTTGATTGTACATGTACAATTTGTAACAACGCATAGGTTACAACTTCACCTAATTAAAGATGGAACTTTAATCTTTAAGAATATTAAAATTTCAACTCGATATACTTAGTTAAAAAGTTACCAAACATGACTTAAAATGTCTGCGAAAGTTATAACATGAAAGACTAGGCTTTTGTGCTACTCCGTTCTCGCGGAATTAAAAAAAAACTTAGTAAGTACCCCATGTACCTTTTCCAGACGGTTTTCTACATCTGTGATAAATGTGACCGAGGTTCTTAAGCCGTTTTAGAGATAAACAAACATCAATCTATCGTATGATTTTTGACTATTTTGACTATTACATTTATTAACAACTAGCTTTTGCTTGCGACTTCGCCAGCGTGAAATTGAAAAATAATATAAAAATACACCCTATGTTACTCACAGATAAATTACCTTTCTAATGGCGAAAGAATTTTTGAAATCGGCCCAGTATATTTTATGTGAATCGAATACATACAAAAATACAAATCTTTCCTCTTTATAATATTAGTATAGACAAACAAAAAAGTCAACTATGAATACAATTCTTTACATATCTTAAACGTCACTTGCATACAAAAGGCGAACACGTAATTGTCAATTAACAACAACTTTAATTAAAAATTTAATAACAATAACACACTATACTAGAAAAAACTCTCGTCGAATCTAGCATGGCAGTCACCACAATGACAACAGATTAAAAAAACGCGTATTAAAAATAACAAGAATAAAAGTGGAAAGGATGCACGTGGCTCCCCACCCCTAGTGACAATTTACGGATGTAAACACGGTGGTAGACGTCTAGACAGCTCGGGTGTAACGCAATAAATCCAGACTGTTCATTCGGGGGGTCTCGGTAAACTGGCGATGCCCCCGGGGGCCCCTGTTCGAACTAAATTGAAAACTCTCGTACTGCATCGGACTTTTGGATAATTGACAGACATAAAGTCATTTCATATGAATTTTTGGCAGGTATTTTACGGGTATTCTATCACACACTACTTTGTGGCGTAGGATGTCATCAATCACAACATATATTTGAATACTTTTTACTTTAATAAAAAGCCTTCCATTTATGACACGCTTTAGGCTATATATTTTAACGTTATTAAACTTAGGGGATAAATAAATTGGAAAAAAATTCCTTCATGTGGGAAAGGGACCATAAACTACGAGCTGACATCAAGGAAGCATAGTTGCCATGGTTTGTCATTATGTCATGTCATTTTAACATTTACAATTGATAATTTGACAAATGTAAACAATAAAACCTTCATAATCTCATGCGGATGAAGCCGCACGGGGAAAGCTAGTAATTACATGTTTCTTACGGTAAAGGAAAGTATCGTAACGCAACCAGTACTTAAAAAATCAAAGATATGTGTGAAGTCAACCCGCAGTGGGCCAGCGTTAAATAAGCCCTAGTCACTTAGGGTAAGCTCCGAGCCCCTTAATGTAAACGTATAGTGACTTAATCATGATGACGTATTTTTATATCGTTTTTATTATTACTTCTTTATTTGAAATTCATTACATGATTTGTTAATTTACTAATACTTCCAGTAGCATTCTAACTAAGCTCTAGGTTTGTGTCTAGTCGAATAACGGGATTCGAATCCTCGACCATGTGAAAATCGTACCCTTAACAATATGGCTATTGGCGTTTCAAAACTATTCGTTTATCTTAGTGATTTCTCTAACTAAATTTACACTAAGAGTCTTTCTTAGTGACTAAATTACTATTCCAATATTGTGTAAAGTATGTTTTTACTAGTCACATTATTATAAAACAGAGATTTACTTCATATTTAGACACTTTAACATTACTTATTCGCTTAGTCATTACTTCCTGGCACGCCATGAAATGACCTACCTCAAGTAAAAATATTGTAGTCAAACCATTATGAATATCAGGGGCACGTATGTACACCGCTATAAAATTTACATATGAAACTTGTATGTCTACAATAAAATAAAATGTGAAATAAGATAGTCCGCCAAGATTTTCCGATCTTACAATGGTTTCCGATTTAGTTCTGTCATTCTGTAATAGACTTTAAATCTAATATCGACAATTTAATGGTTTTTAAATTTTATTTAAAATTGCAATATACCTTGATTCACCAAAAATTTATCAACTAATGATGTTTCAAAATCGTTTTTAATTTCTTTTTATTCATGAATCCATAAACAGCTTATTATATAAAAAGCTCTATATCGTCATTTTATTATTTTGATTGTTATAAAGTTTCTTTTGAATTTCCTTTTTATAAATCGTCAACAATATAGTTACAAAAAAGTAATCAATAAAAATTGTTAGGCATTTCCCAATATCGGCGTACGGAGATCAAAGCGTACGGGGTCATAACCCCCCTGTCTGCGGCCACGCCAGCACACACCGCCATAGCTAACGCAAAGGACCGTTTTGATTGCATCTCCTGTTTGATTTTTTTATCAACTGGTGATTGGTTTATAGCTTTATTATATTGATAATGTTAGTAACGTGTTCCAAATTATTGGAAAAGAAAGAAATATCTGAGTTGTCAAAGGAAACAATACATGAAAAAATTAGTGTACCTAACAATTGTGCGATTGTCCGTTGTTTCGCCCATTCAACTGTTTAGTTGCACAACTCAGTATCGAATAGAGTGCCCTCGATATAAGCTCGTAGGAATCAAAGCGCGACTAAAAGGTTATGCGATAGTTGAGACAAAGGTGTGCGCGTCTTAATCAAACAATGAAAACAATTGAAAGGAGGTAGTTTAATTGATTTTTTTTACACAGGAAAAGAATTCGTTCCTGAACTACAATGTGTCTTGTATTCTAACCCTACCACCGTACCAGAGACAAGGCTACGGCAGGCTACTCATAGACTTTAGTAAGTATCTATTTTTAACTGTAAATAACCTTCTTTTCTCGATTTTTCTGTGTTTTTTTTATTTAAGTGTTAGCTTAAGCCCGCAACTTCGTCCTTTGCAGAATTAAAAACTTAGTAGCCTATGTCTTCTTCAAGATTATCCTCTACGTCTAAGACAAATTTCATCTTAACTTTCCCATTGATAATCTTACTCATGTAAATGCGAAAGTTTAGATGGATGGATGTTTGTTAGAGTTTGTAGCTTGTTAGCTGAATAGATCTCTATAAAATTTGGCATAGATGTAGGAGATAGTCTGCAAGAACACAAAGTCTTACTTTCATTTTTTTTAATTCGCAGACAGAGTCGCAGGCGAAAGCTAGTATTAGTATTCATGTGTAAATAATGTACACAAATTTTGTTTGAGTACTTTAAACTATTTATGTATTAAGAGACAGTGAGGGCGCGAGATGGTTTAGGATTATTGTCTAGACTAGCCCAGGCACCCCATCTCCCTCCCGGAGGGTGCGGTCGCTACCTTGCGCCCTCTATTTTTTGATCGTATTAAACTATGTCTGAGATGTGCTACGTCTATGTATTAAAAAGGAAAGATTTCTATTTTTTTATGTATTTGATTCACGTAAAAACTACTGGGCCGATTTTAAGAATTCTCTCACTATTAGAAAGGTAATTTATCTGTGAGTAACATAGGATATGTATTTATTTATTTTTTAATCTCACACGGGCGAAGTCGCGAGCAACAGCTAGTAATTAACTAAGGCTTAGTAAGATTATTCCTAGTATTATTAAAATAAGAGTTTGAATAGATATATGTTTGTTAGAAGGTGTCCAGAACAGCTTGGAAATCGTTAAATCACGGCCAATTAGAACATAGTTACGATTCCACGCGAACAAAGTCACGGGAAAAAGCTAATCTTAAGTAATGTATTACATATTGGGTTTCGCGACCGTAAAGTGCGTGAAGTTTGTTGCGTGCGACAATAGCGGTCAGGTTTTTGCGTGTAGTCGACCCGCGCTCACCTGAGCGGTCACCGCGGCCGGGTGGGTTTGTTTTGCCCCCGGCGGGCGTCGCGACGCCGCGGCCGTCGACCCCACGATCGATGCACTGCAGTATAGATCGGTCTGCCGTCTAGACTCCCCCCACAGGGGGTACGCGGCCGCGAGACTTAACGGACGAATTGTAGATGCGAGGAATTTTGATGGCCAAGTTAATTATTTGTTTCGGCGACGTTGTTTGGTCCCCTCGTGTGGTAATTGGATATTCGAAACTAATATACACGACTCTCGTCTAATTTTCACGTTAAATGTTAATCGAGAATCGACTTTAGCACGTTTGTTATAACTCAAGTCTATATTTAATTACTAACGTGCCTGCGGCTTTGTCTCCGCGGTATTAACTTAGGAAGTAGTCTGTGTTCTAGACTGTTCTACATCTGTGTCAAATTTCATCGAGATCTGTTAAACCGTTTTGGAGATACTTACCAAGAATCATTCATCCATCCAACTATGTAAAATTCTATGAAATTTAAAAATAATTACACTTTGATTTTAAACTATACGAGATATTAAACGAAAGTGTTAAGGACAGGGAGACTCGCGTCAGATGTAATTTTCTCACGGTTCTTATCACAACTTACAGCTAAAATGTTGACGTCTTTTTGCATCTAAATCCAGTGAATATTCGATGTTTATTGCATGTTAGTGTTGCTACTGCTAAAGTGTGAACTTGGTTACTTTGAAATGTAACCAAATAGTTTATTTATCGATTGTTTATTAATTCGCATTAGCTTTATAAAATACATTTCTTAAATAATTTAGGCTTCATTTTTTGCATAAATTGGGAACGTTATGTTCTTGACAAAAATTGATAGCCGTGAAATTGATATATCTCGCATCCTTTACTTTAAAGACTTGTATTTCGAGTTTCTGACAACGGGTACGATCACCGATATTACGAGGTCTGTTCAAAGGCCCGTTTTACATATTTTGATTTACTTAATCCAAATTGACAGACATTAAGGGTTAAATATGCTTAATTTATTTTTAATATTCGCTTGAATTAAAGCATATTTGTTTCTTTTTTACTGCGAGAGAAATGCCAATTCATAATCTCGATTACTTTTCAATATGACGTAGGAAATATTACTAAAGTTATTTACGAATAAATGTTGCCCGTGACTTCGTTCGCGCGAAATTAAAAAATAATAAAGTAACATAGCCTATCTCTGAAAACGTAGATTTTTAATGGTGAAAGTTTGAAATCGGCCCAGTAGTTTATGAGTTATAACAATACATTAAAATACAAATCTTTCCTCTTTATAATATTAGTATAGACTACATTATAATGGAGTTTCCACTCAATTTGTTAATAAATGCTTAAGTATGCAATTATTATCTTTATCTAATAGGTTATCTACTAACAAAAGTGGAGGGCAAAGTGGGCTCCCCGGAGACCCCGTTGTCTGATCTCGGTCTGATATCGTATCGGTCGTACTGGAAAGAGGCCCTGCTGAAGAGACTGTGCTCGGCCTCGGGGCCCTCGCTCTGCATCAGGGACCTCAGCAAGGACCTCGCGATCGCATCATCGGATATCGTATCCACGCTGCAGGAGCGAGGCCTTATGAAGTATTGGAAGGGAAAACATATTGTGCTGAAAAAACAGGTCAGTTTTTGTTATTTATTTCGTGTATTTCATGTTTTTGTTTTTGTCTTTGCATGTACAAATATTATGATCTGTACATGTACTCTTCACCATTACGTTTTAGTAATCTTTATCAATAACTTTTCGACTTTTTATAATCTAAGAAGCAATTCTAGAGGTTATAGTATCCATATAAATTTTAACTTCACGCGACTCGGTGCGTAGAGCACAATTTTAGAATATTGAGA